CGAGACGCACCAGGAGATTCAATTCACGCACTGGCGGTTTCAGCAGACTCCGATGTACTCAGAAGCATTTCACTCGTGGCTGAGATATCACGACGACGGAAGGTGGTAGAGACGCCGCGTCAGAATCCGTATCAGCCAACCATAATCCGTGACAGATTTCACGCCCTATGGTGGGCTATGATATACTCGTCTTATACTCTTCTCTCAAATGGTGGCTATATCGTTTGGATGTGCACCAATCCAGTGTTTACAGGTACTTACTATATGATCTGGGCATGCGGCCGCACAGCTAAAACTAAACAAGGTCGCTGGCTCCTCTTCCTCACCATCCTAGCGTTCCGCGTTTCCTGTGCTACTGGTACCTTGCAGTCCGACAGCGACGACCGCATTCGGATTCACCTACGACAACGGGCGACACTTCACACGCTTGGCGGTTCTCAGATATTGGTCAAAGTTGTTCGGGAACTTGATTTGCTAACTGGATGGTCGACCCAGCTGTCGGTGTACTCAGATCTTAAAGGTTCCTCTCCGTATGCTTCGACGGTGGCAACAGTCTTCACGGCTGGGCTCTGGCAGTGTTTATGTGCGCAGCCGTCGGTGACCTTTTTAGAAGCCATGCACGTGGTTCAGTTGGACTTGCTTAAGTGTATCCCCCTTGCTGGGGTTAGCTCTTACGTGTCTGTCTTGCTGACGGCCGTCACCTCGTGCATCTCTATTTGCCGCGTTCGCGCCCTATTCCGTGGTGGACGGAAATCTCGCATGCGTGCTCATCGCCTGTGTCACAGTTTTACACCGCTCCAGCAGGCTGCTTTCTCAAGGCCTGGGGAGGCGAGCATCACGGATGCGCTCGAATTGTTTCAGTTTGTCTATCTGCAGGCTCGGTGTATCCAGGACCCCGAGCCGACGCCTCAGGCCAAGGATAAAAACACTGGCTCTTCGAGTTTCGTGTACCAGTTAGGCTCCGAGAGCTTGTGCATCGGCCAGGGATCCCTCGTTCGGAGTTCCTCGGGGTATTCTGGAGGCGTTTGACGTTTTCGGGAACACCTTCGAGGCCTACGGTGCGTCGCCCTGGGAACCCCAACTAAGGAAAGAAGCCGCTACGTACAACTTACACCTGGATGTACTTCCTGGCTCTTATTCTTCGTCCTGGCCATTACCCCTACCAAGGACGTACATGCACTTGAGAGCGCACACATTGCATGCTCACGCCCGCTTGCTAACAACCTCAATAATCCTCACCTCGGGCGCCTACGTGCACGGCATCGGCTACGCCCGCGCGCGCGTGCACACCGGAGGACGCGACGGAAATGTGAACACACATCGGAGGCACAGACCGTGCTTAATCAAAAATGGTATGACAAGCGTATACAAACTTTATGTTCACAACGCATGGTTTTTCGCAGTATCTAGCCGCACGTCATAGATGGCAACACCTTCTCCAGCATAAATATGGTGACTTGTACGATGTGATTATGCAGCAGCGTGTGCAGGCACAGCAGGGGCAGGGCCCGATTAACATTACGGGCTCAGGCAGCACGGTCTTGATGCTCAAATGGGCTTCCATGAACTATCAGCACATGCCGTGGGGCCTGATATGCAAGAATCGGACCCGCGGCACGGACTTTTTATTCAATGTCTGGGAGTTCACAGCACTGTATCCGTTTTGGATGGATCGTGTCAGAGTACGCTCGTCCCTGAAGTCCTACCTCCACTCCATTAAGCTTCCCGCTCCCGTCAGCAGCGTTGTGAAAGTGTCACACCAGTCGGAGGTGACACCTGTCAAATGTTGGCTTGCCCGTATCGTGCAGCAGGCCAGACCCTCGCGCCCAGCATGGGCGACTTGGGCGGCCAAATCCGTCCGCATACTGGTGCGCCCTGAACTTACGCTCAGGAAGCGCTTCTGCACGGTGGCTCGTATGTTTCGGCAGCGGGACTATCGGGCTCTCGGCCAGCTTTCCCTGCATGATTTTCACCTTGCTGCGCGAGGTGACGACATGGAACGTATGCATATGAACGGACGCATACCCCTACTTACTCCCTCTCTGACCCTGCCCCAGCGTGACAACACCCAAACATCGTGTCGTCGGTGGCTGTCGTCCCAAGGTCTCGACAAAACGACCTACCCTAACTATCGTGCCCGACGCCCCCGCCCATCCCAACCGAAATCCCTGGGCGACCGACGATATAAGGCCCTTGGAGAGGCCCGACTGAAATTTGAAGCGAAGGCCTTTGAGGCCCAGGACCCTATTTGCTTTGCGGTTGGGGACAAGGACCCGAACACGATGTGGCGTATTAATGGACTTTACCATCTAGCTCGGTGATTACATATGATTGCTAAGGCCCCTGAAAGATGGCGCGTTGTTGATACTTCCAAGGCCGCGGTGGTTGCCTGGTACCGTTTATTGTGCGATTATACCATCCCGAAGTCCCTCAGGGCTAAAGGGGAAGGCCCGCTTAATGCTGAACACGTCCCCTATATCTATCCTACGGTCAAGCTAAAGTGTTGGGGCGGTGGACATCTTCCCCCTGAGCAAGGACGCCATAAGTGTACCAAACCAACGCATAGCTGTTTTCGGAACATATGCAGTTTCGTTCGACTACCATTGCGCTCATTATATAGATCAATCAGTCGTGCGGTTACCTTCCTCTCCAACCAGATGAACCCAGGGTGGTCATTCTCTTCTCTGGACACAGCTGTGCCTGACATTGTGGACCAGTATTCTCACCTTGTGTCTGCGCCGTCGGCGGGCCCATGCTTGTGCAGGGGCTGCCAGGCGCCGATGACCTGTCCAGGTCTCGTGGTGGGTGATGCTGGCCAGGCATACGAGGCCATCGCTGTTGAGAAGATTCACGAGTGCCTTGATCGCTTGTTCGCCAAGCTTGCTGAGAGTGAAAAAGAAGGCAAGCAGCGTTGCATCACGGTCATGCGCACACAACGGTCACATGTATTCTTTGGGGGGATGACGACCCGACGATTGTGGGATCGCACGGTTTGGTATTCTAGTAGCATCCGCAGGGCTCTGGAAGGTTTTCTAGGCATGAGACTGTTCCTGGTCAGTGGCTTGGTCGTCCAGCAGCTCTGTGGGATCCCCATCGGAGGGCCCCTCAGCGGGGCTGTCCTTCACGCTGTGCTCAGCGACCTGGAGTTTAGCACCGACTCTCGGTGCCCAGGCCGACGGAGCACTATCATGACTGGGCGGTATGTTGATGATATCATCCTGGCTTCTAAGTTTTGTTGTAGCAAATGTCTAAAGCGCCTGGTGTGGCACGTCTATGGCAGCACGGTCAAGTTTGACTACACTGAGCCTACCCAGATCAACCCATCTACCCTAATGGTTCCCTACCTGGAGGCCGTATTATTCTTTACGCACAAGGGGTGTACCAGTTGGGTTATCCATAAGAATGAAGCATATGGGTTCTCGGGTCGTGCGTCGGAGCTAGCCAAACAGTCACTACCTCCCTACTTAGGAGTGTTCCCACCAGCCCTACTTAAACAACATCGAGCTGAGTTACGGGGTCGACTTAGACGATGGCAACAACTACGTGTTTGTGATCTTAACTGGCTTATACTGATTTGTAGCGATGTACTTTTACTTCTTCGCCTAGGCTATAGTGGTCAACATATACACCGCATATGGTATGATATCCTCCCACCCTCGCAGCAATTGGAAATAAGCAAAGCAGCCATAAGACTCGTTCTCCTCACCTCAAAGGCCCTGAGAGCCCCACCAGGTACCCTTGCAGCTGTCTTTTCTCAGAGCCTGGCGGGAACAGCTACTCCAACTCAGACTGACGTTCGGACCCCACCTACGTCGGCAGCGAGTGGGATGTTCAGCTCTTGGCGCAGCAAGGGCAGCGGCAAAGCTGGCAACAAGGGTGGACCCTACGCCCCTCGGTTCCAGCAGTTCCAGCAGCCCCAGTGGGGCAAGGGCAGCAACTACAACAAATACGGCGGTGGTGGTTCCTCTCAGGGAGGCTTCACGGGGATGCTCGGCCAGATGACCTCCGTGATGGACAACGTCGCAGCCTTGGGCGAACTCACGCGGGTGGGCAACGCCCTGGCCCAGACGCAGCAGCAGCCTATCCAGCCTGTCCCAGCCGCCGTGGGGGCGACCCCGCCTGCCACGCCGCCTGGGGCGGCACCCGGTGCTGACACACCGGGGGTCCCGACCACCTCGGAGCCCGCGCGCGAGCTCGTCAGCGCCCTCACGGACGTGCTCCGCAACAGTGCGCCTGGCGACTCACGGCTGCAGCAGACTGTGGATCGCCTCCACAATCTTGTCGGCAACCCGTCCACGGCCAACGGGTCGGCCTCAGGCAACTCCCAGCTAGCTCAGCAACCCGTCATCCAGCAGCTGCAGTCCAACATGGCGACGCTCCAGTCCACTGTCGATGCCCACGGCCAGCAGATCGGGACGATCAACACCACGCTTGCCAGCGCGGCGGAGGACTCGAGGGCGACCAGGGAGATGATGGAGCGAATGATGGGTATGCCCCACCGTCCGCCTGCCACGCCCCAGAATGGCCTGCCGCGTCATCTCGGCCCTCCAAGCCCTGAGGCTGGTAGTGCCGCCCCTGGTGCAGGTGGTGGTACAGGCGGCGGCGCGGGCCCACTGGTCAAGCCTCAGATGACGGTAGCCGATCATGACCACGCCATCGCTATCTTGGGCATCGGCGCCCAGAGGCAGAATCTGGTCCAGCTCAGCCAGGAGATTGCCTCGTCTGAGGGCGCCGTGATGCCCTACAGTGAGTGGTGGACGCAGATTGCTCGATGCAAAGGGATCGCCCAGTGGCAGACGAAGCTCCAGGCGATTGGTCTCCCTGAAGGCAACCCAACAGCCGCCTCGAGCTTCAACAAGATAGGCCAGATCATCTACTCCAAGATTCAGCACGACGGGACCTGGAGCGATACCGACCTTCAGACGATCACACTCTCATGATTGGCCACACCTGAAGTGAGCTATTCGGAGCTGGCTTTCAAAGGGGAAATGGTGTGGCCGATGCTCCGTGTGTTCTCATTGCTGATTCCTTTAGTTATCTTTATCTGGACGGCGTACCAGACATGCATCTTCATCGGCTTTGCGAGACTTTCGGCCGAGAATTTGCTCACCTTTGCCATCCAGCGCGTGCTTTCAATTATTCCACTTCTCGCGCTTAGAGTTGTATCTGCCTTTGTCTGGCCCAATGCGGCCCACTGGATCAATACACTCATGGCTATGCTTGGTGGTTTCTCTCAGGGAGAAGCTGACAACCCTCCCAAGCCGATTCTAGACGGCAAAGGAGGCGGCGAGTCATGGGCATGGTTTGCCGCGATTTCTCAGCCACTCCTTGTTGGCCTGTGCGCCTGGATGGGCCAGTGACGGCCGACACTCACACCGACGGCGAGCATGCTGCCGAGGTGACGGTCCTGCTGGTCCACAGCAGGCCTGATATGACAGCTTGTTTTCATTCCCTCCCCTGATCTAATTGGTCGGGATGTGTGTGTGTGTGTGCTTCTTTCAACATACTATTGGACTCGTTTTACAGTTCTCTTAGAGTTCCGACGTGTCTTTGCCCTGCACACACACTTGTGAGCGTAGCGTTTCAGAATACGATTGCTCGTTTGTTTATTGTTTGTGCTCGATAAGTGTAGGGAAATCCGCATGACGGTCGAGCCCAGTAGACAGCAGCCCAACAGCCTGATACTATTGTTTTTGTTTTCCTCTCTCCTTCCTCATTCCTCCTTCCTCTTCCTCCCCTGCCTCGTCTCGCTCCCGCTCCCAAGGTCCAAAAGCAACAGGCTAGTAGTATCTGTTCTTACCAGTGTCATTTGCTTGATTGCCGCTTCTCACACCACAGACATTTCAGTATCAGACCTCCGAGCGGGGGTTTAGGAGCTCGCTCAAGCCGACACGTCGGCGCATATACGTATAGGCTCCCGCTCGGTTGATCTCGCCCGCTTGTGCTGAGGAAAAGGATACACTGAAAACTCGCAGGGATCCTGACCTACGAAGGCCTCCACGGGGACTCGAAGTGGGACTCAAAACAAGATTGGTTAACTTGTGTGTGTGTGTGTGTGTGTGTGTGTGTGTGTGTGTGTGTGTGTGTGTGTGTTTTGCTCCTTCGGCCCACCCCCGCCGCCGAGGCGGAGGCCCAGCTCGACGGCCTGCGCAAGGCCTCCCCCGCCCCACCCCGGCGGCGTGGCCTCCTCTCCCGCGCGGGGCCTGTGGCGGCGGCCGCCCGCTCTCGCCCTGGACTCCCTCTCGCGGCGAGGAGACCAAAGCGGGAGGCTTCTGTGGGGTGTGTGGGGGTGCGTACGTTACGTGAGTGAGTGCGTGCGTGCGGGCGTGGGCATGCGTGGTCGTGTGCGTGGGTGTGGTGCGTGGGTCGTGTGTGTGTTGCATGTTGTGCGTGTGTGTGGATGTGCGTTGTTGTTGGTGTTGCGTTGTCGTGTGGTGTGCGTGTGTTGTGTTAGCGCGTTTGCATGTGTGGTGTGTTGCGTTTTGTGCGCATGGGTGCGTGGTTGCGTGGGTGCGTGGAGTAGGTGCTGCGTGTGTTTGCGTGTGTGTGTGTGCGTTGGCGTGAGTGTGTGACGTATTGTGTGTGTGTGGGGGGGGGGGTGGCGTGGGGGGGGGGCCGTGTACGTGTGGATGGCATGTGGCCATGCAATGGGATTTTCTTGACTTCGTGGCCCCTTCTTCTTTGTTCTTCTTCTTCTTCCGATTCGTTCCCTGCCCCCTTTCCTAGCCGCGCACACGCCTCGGGCCATGATGCGCACCCACCTCCCTCTTTTCCTGGCCCCCCTCTTCGGCGCACCCGAGAGACGGGGAGGCAGGGGAGGGGGGCGCGGCGTCGCCCTGTGGGAGGACAAGACGGGCGCCCAGGTGCAGGAAGAGCACGGCATACAATTCGACCTGGACAGGGTGGTGGGCGACGGCGGGCTGGAGCTGGCGAGGGGGGACCGGGTCCTCTGCCACGTGAGCGCCCCCGCCTCCAGCGGCGGGCCTGGCAGGGCCTTTGCGTCCCGCGTCGAGGTGCTGGAGTTCTCGGAGTCCAGGCCCGCCAGGCGCCTGGCTACGGTCCTCCGCGTCCTGCGCCGCGTGGCGGATCAAGCCCCGCGCGGCGGGGGGGCGATAGGCGGAGCGGGAGGTGGAGGAGGAGGAGGAGGAGGAGGAGGAGGAGGAGGTGCTGATGCAGGGCCGCGGCGGGACGAGGTGCTGCAGGTCGCCACCAGCCGGCCGCTCTGGAGCCTGCTGGCCTCGCTCGTGCAGCAGCTGCAGAGGGCACACAGCCGCGGCTGCTGTGTGGACGAGGACGCCCCGAGGCTCAAGAGACGCGGGTCAGTGCAAACGGGGGTCAGTTAGAGCGACGGATCTTGCAGGATCTTGCAGGGCCAGGAGTGCACAGAGCTGGGCTTAGGTGCAGGATCCTGCACAGCCTGACTGACCTGGGCTTGCATTGATCCGGGTCAGCAGACCCCCGAAGGACGCCCCGAGGCCAGTGGAGGTGCGTTGCGATGGAGACCAGGTGGCCCTTGAAGTTGCCGTCCAGGTCCGTGACGAGACGAAAGCAGAGAGGGACGATGTCCCTTACGAGAGGGGTCGCGTCGCGATAGACGAGCTGCGCTTCACGCACGCCGTCATCAGCGGTAAGTTTCGGGATGGCAGGGCTCCAGAAGACCTTCTGGGGGAGCTCAAGCGAGGCAGGGTGGCCCTTGACGACGACCGGCTCACACTGGACGTGGTCAGATTTCGTGGAAGCTACTGGTCGCTGAACAATCGGCGCCTCTGGGTCCTGAAGCGCTTCCAGCAGGAATACTTGTTCGCCCGCCTGAAACAAGAGAGGTCGGCCACTGTACCGGTCCGCATCTTCCGGCCCTGCCGCTTGACCGCAAGCTTCATCCTGGCTGTCTCGGCGCTGCGCTCTGCGGATGGCCCCCAGGCGTCGCGTGTTCGCAGCCTGCTCCGCGAGCTCGCGCGTGACCCGGAGGCGCGGGCGCCGCGCCAGCCCCCTGCTGGCTGGGGGCTGCCCTCTGCGGAGGAGCGGCAGGCGGCGCCATCGTCGGGCCAGCGGGGCGAGGCGGGGGAGGAGTCCGAGCGCGTGTGGGTGCGCTTCGGGCGGCAGGCTTACGTCGGGCCTGTCCCTCTACAGGGGGAAATTCAAGATTACTCAAAAGATAGTCTGGGGACGATGTTTTGATTATCTCTCTGAGCATTCGGGGAGAATTTGCACGGTATTTCCCAACCCTCCTGCGTTGGGTTCTCGTTTTGAATAGAGCACTGCTCGCGCGTCTCCTTCCTTCCTTCCCGCCCCTCTCTTCCCCCTTGCCTTTTGCCTCGCTCGTCGCTGCGTGCCAGCTGGGGGGCTGCGATCTGCGAAGCTGTCGCCACTTTCGAGGGCTGCTGGGGGGCCCAGCACAGTGGGTACCCACGGCAAACTCAAATGGGACCTCGCCATCCCTGGGGGGCTGCGATCTGTGAAACTGTCGCCACTTTCGAGGCCTGCTGGGGGGCCCAGCGGAGTGACGCCCTACGGGGATTCTGATTAGACCTCGCCATCCCTGGGGGGCTGCGATCTGTGAAACTGTCGCCACTTTCGAGGGATGCTGGGGGGCCCAGCGGAGTGACGCCCTACGGGGACTCAGATTAGACCTCGCCATCCCTGGGGGGCTGCGATCTGTGAAACTGTCGCCACTTTCGAGGGCTGCTGGGGGGCCCAGCACAGTGGGTACCCACGGCGGATTCAAATGGGACCTCGCCATCCCTGGGGGGCTGCGATTTGTGAAACTGTCGCCACTTTCGAGGACTGCTGGGGGGCCCAGCACAGTGACGCCACACGCAGATTCAAATTAGACATCGCCATCCCTGGGGGGCTGCGATCTGTGAAACTGTCGCCACTTTCGAGGCCTGCTGGGGGGCCCAGCACAGTGGGTACTCACGGCAGATTCAAATGGGACCTCGCCATCCCTGGGGGGCTGCGATCTGTGAAACTGTCGCCACTTTCGAGGCCTGCTGGGGGGCCCAGCACCGTGGGTACTCACGGCAGACTCAAATGGGACCTCGCCATCCCTGGGGGGCTGCGATCTGTGAAACTGTCGCCACTTTCGAGGGCTGCTGGGGGCCCAGCACAGTTGGTACCCACGCCGGATTCAAATGGGACCTCGCCATCCCTGGGGGGCTGCGATCTGTGAAACTGTCGCCACTTTCGAGGCCTGCTGGGGGGCCCAGCACAGTGGGTACCCACGGCGGATTCAAATGGGACCTCGCCATCCCAGGGGGGCTGCGATCTGTGAAACTGTCGCCACTTTCGAGGCCTGCTGGGGGGCCCAGCACAGTGGGCACCCACGGCGGATTCAAATTAGACCTCGCCATCCCTGGGGGGCTGCGATCTGTGAAACTGTCGCCACTTTCGAGGCCTGTCGGGGGGCCCAGCACAGTGACGCCACGCGCGGACCCAAATTAGACCTCGCCATCCTGGGGGGCTGCGATCTGTGAAACTGTCGCCATGTTCGAGGGCTGCTTGGGGTCCATGCACAGGGGCACCCACGGCGGATTCAAATGGGACCTGCATCCTTGGGGGGCTGCGATCTGTGAAACGGTCGCCACTTTCGAGGGCTGCTGGTGGGTCGGTCCAGCGGAGTGAGGCACCACGGGGATTCAGATTAGACCTCGCCATCTCTGGGGTGGCTGCGATCTGTGAAACTGTCGCCACTTTCGAGGGCTGCTGGTGGGTCCAGCGGAGTGAGGCACCACGGGGACTCAGATTAGACCTCGCCATCTCTGGGGGGCTGCGATCTGTGAAACTGTCGCCACGTTCGAGGGTTGCTGGTGGGTCCAGCGGAGTGAGGCACCACGGGGACTCAGATTAGACCTCGCCATCCTTGGGGGGGCTACTGCGATCTGTGGACATTGTCGCCACGTTCGAGGGTTGCTGGGGGGCCCAGCACAGTGGGCACTTCACGGCGGACTCATATTAGACTTCGCCCATCCCTGGGGGGCTGCGATCTGCGAAACTGTCGCCACTTTCGAGGCCTGCTGGGGGGCCCAGCACAGTGGGTACCCACGGCGGACTCAAATTGAACCTCGCCATCCCTGGGGGGCTGCGATCTGTGAAACTGTCGCCTCTTTCGCGGCCTGCTGGGGTGCCCAGCACAGTGGGTACCCACGGCGGACTCACATGGGACATCGCCATCCCTGGGGGGCTGCGATCTGTGAAACTGTCGCCACTTTCCGAACTGTGTGAGGGGCCAGCCACAGTGGGTACCACAGGCAGATTCAAAGGACCTCGCCATCCCTGGGTGGTGCGATCTGTGAAATTGTTCCACTTCCGCCACTTTCGAGGGCTGCTGAGGGGCCCAGCACAGTGGGTACTCACCGCAGACTCAAATGGGACATCGCCATCCCTGGGGGGCTGCGATCTGTGAAACTGTCGCCACTTTCGAGGGCTGCTGAGGGGCACAGCACAGTGGGTACTCACCGCAGACTCAAATGGGACCTCGCCATCCCTGGGGGGCTGCGATCTGTGAAACGGTCGCCACTTTCGAGGGCTGCTGAGGGGCCCAGCACAGTGGGTACTCACCGCAGACTCAGAGTAGACCTCGCCATCCCTGGGGGGCTGCGATCTGTGAAACTGTCGCCACTTTCGAGGGCTGCTGAGGGGCCCAGCAGAATGGGCACTCACCGCAGACTCATGTTAGACCTCGCCATCCCTGGGGGGCTGCGATCTGTGAAACGGTCGCCACTTTCGAGGGCTGCTGAGGGGCCCAGCACAGTGGGCTTCCCGCACGTCTTTCTCCTGCTCTTCGTTCCCGACTCCCCATGTCTTCTTCGAGTCTGTAGTTGTCGCCCCTCGCTCTTGTATGGTTCTCCTGCGCATCATGCCATTGGCGCGTGTCCCATGTAGCTTACATATCAAACAACGGATCCTGCAATTTGATGGTCCGTGCAGGTTTCGGCCAACTCCTCGTTTCCCATGATACAAATGGGTTGGGTACGTCACATGGTAATTTTAATTTTTCGCCCAAAAGTGCCCCTGCAGGGGGACGTGCCCGACCTAACAGCAGGCTTACGCCGTCGTGGAGCCGCAAGCCACCCCCGGCGAGCCGCCGCAGCCGGGCGCTGCCGTGCGGGCTCTCGGTGCCCGAGGCCGCTCGCAGGCCGCTGGCAGCCTGCGTGCCCTGTGCCCCGTCACGGCGAAGCTCGTCCTGGCGCACTCCACGGAGATGCGGGCCCCCCGACTGGGAGGAGGAGGAGGAGGAGGAGGAGGAGGAGGAGGAGGAGGAGGAGGAGGAGGAGGAGGAGGAGGAGGAGGAGGAGGAGAGGAGGGAGGAGGAGGAGAAGGGAGAGGGAGGAGGGAGGAGGGAGGAGGGAGGAGGGAGGAGGGGGCGAGGGGGGAGGAGAGAGGAGGGGGGAGGGGGGAGTGAGAGGAGGAGAGGGAGGGAGGAGGGAGGGAGGGGAGGCCCCCCGGATGGATGGTCTAGCCCCGGGTGGTTTGGGCCACGCTCGGGCCTTGCGCGGGCGCCCAGGACGGTGCGAACTTCTGAAGACCTCCGGAAATGCCCTCGGGTGAGCGCAGCCGCTGCAGAGCTCGGGAGGGCCCCCGGACGTGGTGGTGACCCACCACACCACACGGTGCGGTGACCGCACCCAGAGATCCAAAGTATGAAAAAAATATCCCGGCAAAGCAACCTAACAGCGATGTGTAGGAGCATATCTGGAAGCATTCCCCTTAAGATTCAGATGAGAATCCTGTTGTAGAATTCTGCTGTTCTCGCAGTCGTAGTCGCATTCGCGATGGCAGTCGCAGTGGCAACGACAGTCGCAGTCACAGCCTCAGCCTCAGCCTGCCTCAGCCGCAGCCTCAGCATGCCTCAGCCTCAGCCTGCCTCAGCCTCAGCCTGACTGCTCAGCCTCAGCCTCAGTCTGCCTTCAGCTCTGGCCTAGCCTCAGCCTGCTCAGCCTCAGTCTGCATCAGCCTCAGCCTCAGCCTCAGCCTGCCTCAGCATCAGCCTGCCTCAACCTCAGCCTCAGCCTGCCTCAGCCTCAGCCTCAGCCTGCTTCAGCCTCAGCCTCAGTCTGCCTTCAGCCTCGGCCTCAGCCTCAGCCTGCCTCAGCCTCAGCCTGCCTCAGCCTCAGCCATCAGCCTGCCTCAGCATTCAAAATGTGGCCCGGGAATGGAGTTCTGGGAACTCGAAGAACACGAAGTGGCCTACAGTTGGCTCCGGGCATTCAAAATGTGGCCCGGGAATGGAGTTCTGGGAATAGAAGAGCACGAAGTGGCCTACAGTTGGCTCCGGGCATTCAAAATGTGGCCCGGGAATGGAGTTCTGGGAACTCGAAGAGCACGAAGTGGCCTACAGTTGGCTCCGAGCATCCAAAATGTGGCCCGGGAATGGAGTTCTGGGAACTCGAAGAGCACGAAGTGGCCTACAATTGGCTCCGGGCATCCAAAATGTACGCCGGGAATGGAGTTCTGGGAACTCGAAGACCACGAAGTGGCCTACAGTTGGCTCCGGGCATCCAACATGTACGCCGGGAATGGAGTTCTAGCAGCGCCAAGAGCGATTTTGCGAGGATGTCCAAAGCGATTTGGGCTTCGGCGGCAGCCGCCCCGGGTCCCGCCCCGACCCCCCTGAGGAGTCATGATGCTCTCTTTTGACACCACTAGAAACCTATCAGTCTTCGCTGTTAGGTAATCAAGACGTAAGTTTTTCGTATTTTTCGGCCTCGTGGGGCCCTCGCCGGGCCCCAAGACCGTCAAAAAACGACTCAGGACGAAAAATCGGTCCTGGGGAATGGGTCGAGACTTCCGAGGACCCCACATTGAAAAAAATCACGACATCGGATCTCTGGGCACCGCGTGGTGAGCCAGTGGGGCTTCGGGGTCACCGCGTGGTTTCGGGACTCGGGTCGTTCTCCGAGGCCGTCTCGGGCGATGGGGGGCCTCCGAGGTCCCAAGACCGTGCGGTGACAAACCGTGCGGTGAGGCCTCGGGGGATTTCGACGTCCTGGCGCACTCCACGGAGATCCGTCAAGCAGTGGCGAAGCGTCCTGGCCCGCCTATAGCCCTACCAGACAATGCTCGAAGAAGCTTTTGTGGTTTCCACGAGATGTTCTTAGAACATGTCCAGCCGAGACTGTCCTGTTTTAACACATCAGGTTTATGTTCTAAGAACATTGCTTTGTTCTTAGAACATCTTGGGGTTCTAAGAACATGTCGTGGTAGGGCTATAGGACTTCCGGGACGGTCGGTCCCTGCTCAAATCTGGGCCCCCCCGATGGGATCGCTGGTGCATCGCCGATGCATCGCCGACGTATCGGCGATGCGGCGCGAGCCTCCGGCCCCATCTGCTCGGACCCCATCTGGGAGGCTTCTAGGGTCGGAGGGCACCGACCAAACACCTGCGACGGTCCTGGCCAGGCCGATCCTAAGCACAGGATCGGTGTGTTTGCATTCAGCCCAAGGCAGGAGGGCGTGTACTCCGATCCCGGGCCCACGGTGATCCTGGCCAGGATGGGTGTTGGTGTATAGTTGGTGCCCTCCCATAGGAGAACGCGGGCGACTCCGTGCAGATGCGGCCCCAGCTACCCCGGTCGGCCAGCAACGGCGAGAGCTCCCTGCACGCCCTGGTCCAGGTGGCCATGGCGGCCGCCGCCTGCTGCGGCCGGCTCCTCGGCACGGCAGCGAGGGACGCGCTCGCAGCTGCGGCCGAGGCGCTGCTCACGCCAGAGGAGAGCTCCCCGGCCCTCCAGCTGCTCCAGAGGAGCGCAGTTCGAAGAAGAAAACATACGATAAATAAACATAAACGTTTGGCGCTCCGCGCGGATTTCTTGGATCCGCCCTGAGGCGCCGCCCTTGGCGCGCTCCGCGCGCCACGGAGGGGGGTCCAGCGCAGATCCAAGAAATCCGCGCGGAGCGCCAAAAGTTTCTGTTTATGGCGTTTTTTCTTTTTCTAGCAGTGGACGGGGGAAGCTGCTTTCTCGAACAGACAGCGGCGCCGTTCGTGCGCCAGCTGGCGCGGGTCGCCCCGAGCCACGCGAACCTCGCCGCCCCGCTGCTGCGCGAGGCGGCGCTCGGGCTCGACCCTCACGGCGGGGCCGCCCGACACCAAGCCGCGGCGCGCCTGGCGGTGCAGCTGGCGGAGCTGTACGAGCAGGTCACGAGACCGCTGCTGCACCCAGCGCTCGCTGCCTCGCAGCACCGGCCGTGGCACCGGCTCCTCCTCGTGCCGGAGCGCTTCGAGTTGGAGGGTGCCCGGGGCGCCGCGGCCGCCTCGCCCAGCGCCCTCGCGTCGCGCGGGCGGTGCACCGCAGATTCCGCCGCTCTGCCCAGCGTGCTCGTCGGCCAGCCGTACCCGAGCGCGCACGCGTACTTCGACACATACTTCCGGCTCCTGCGGGAGGACGGCCTCGCCGCGATGCGGAGATCGTTGCGAAGCGAAAGGGTCCTGAGGAGAACGGGCCTTGAGCCGTTCCGCTGTCTTCGGGGGTTCTCGGGACCCTCTCGCCAGGCCAGAGGACCGTCAAAATGATGTTGGATGAAAAGTTGGCCCCGGGGAAAGGCCCCAGGACAAGTCCCTCCCTCGGGGCCCGCTTGCGCCACACCCAGGAGGGGGGTCGCGCGGGAGTTGGCCAGCGAGGCAGGGCAGGGCAGCGGGGAGGAGGCGCCAGCCTGCAGCGCCGCGATCCGGGGTGTCACGCTGGACGGAGGCGAGGATGCCGGGCGAGCCGGCTCACAGCTCCTCGTCGTGGTGGAGGTCCAGGACTTCCCCGCCCAAGCCGGGCGCCGCCCCGGCTGGGCTTTCCGCAGGCTCGCCCCGAGCCTCATGCCGGGCAACTTGTGCGCCCTGCTTCTCCCTGGGGACGGCGCCCAGTCGCGCGTGGTGTGGGCGTTGGTTGCCTGCGCGGACGCCGCCGAGAGGCGCCTGCTGCTCGGGCTGTACCGGGCCGAGGCAGAGTCGATGCAGCGGGGGATCGGGCACATCTTGCGGTGGGAGCACGTCGTGCTCCTGGCCTCTCCGGCCTACTTTCGCTCGTACGAGCCCGTGCTGGCCGCGCTGCAGCGCGAGGACCCCGAGGAGATGCCCTTTCGCGAGGAGCTCGTCGCGTGCGTTTGGCCCGAGGAGCCCCAGCCACGGCGCGTCAGAGGGGATGCCAACTTCAAGCAGGGCGTGTTCCGCTTGACCTCCCCAGAGGGTGCCGGAGCCCTGGCCGCCTCGCGCCAGTTCCTGCTCGTGGGGGTGTCCGAGGCGAACAGGGCGCAGTGCTTCCGCCCCAGCTCCACGGAGGCCGTGCGGATCTCCCACCCGCTGGCGGGCGATACCTTTGACCTCAGGGCCACCTTCTCGGAGCCCGGCGCAGGAGGCAGAGCGGAGCCCGTCCTGCGGATTGAGAACCGCGGTCAGGGCTACATCTCGGTGGCCAGGGAGTGTCAGGAGCGCGAGCAGGCGGCGAATGAGCCGGGCTGCGGGGAGGCCGTGTTCATGGTCCCGTCGGGCTTGGTCGGGAAGGTGATTGGCAGGAAGGGCACCACAATCAAGCTGCTGCAGGCGAAGTCGGGCGCCTCCCTTGCGGTCGAGGCGCAGGGTGGGGGGCAGGACATCCCCACCACTGACGATTTGGCACTGTAGCGAGAAAAGCTCGCGACTGAATTGCACACATCGATCGAAATGCTCCCGCACTTCCTGACATCTGCCGTTCTGTTTTTTTCAGTGCGCGGCTCCGGAGGTCCCGTCCGCTTCCCTGGAGGTACTTTTTCGGCCCGGATCCATTTCTGATGGCCACGGGGCCCAGAAACAGGCCCTGGAGGCCGAAATCGAAGAAAAACACCCCGATGGGATTGGAAATCTGATCGGAGATCTGGGTGCTTCGCTGCGCAGCTCTGGGAGGGCAGCTGCTGGGGTGCGCATCGATGGGGCGGGTTGTGATGCCTCGGCAGGCCTCCCAGGGCGAGGCCTCGGCCGCCATACGACTCTCTGGCGCTGCAGGCGCCGTGGCCAAGGCCCAGGCGCTGCTGCAGGCCCTGGTCGGCAGCTCGGAGCTGCGAGGAGCCGTGCGTCCGCATCGTTAAACCTCATCGACCTCCTCGTGCTCCTCGTCCTCCTGCTCCTTCTCCTCCTCCTCCTCCTCCTCCTCCTCCTCCTCCTCCTCCTCCTCCTCCTCCTCCTCGTCCTCCTCCTCCTCGTCCTTCTCCTCGTCCTCCTCCTCCTCGTCCTTCCTCGTCCTTCTCCTCCTCGTCCTCCTTCCTTCGTCCACCAAGAACGAGGGGGACGAGAAGGTCGACGAGGAGGTCCCCTCCCCACCGGGCCATGGTATCTCAGCCCCACCATCCCGCCACCCCGGCTGGGGACAGGCCCCTCGAAAGCGAAACCCGGAGGGAACGGCCTATTACATCCCCATCCGGGGGGCCCCTTGCATGGGGGGGGGGGGGGGGGGGGGGGGGAAATCGGCCAGCGGGGCCCAGGCCTCGCCAGTGGGGGACCGGGATCGGCAGAACGATGCTCAGGGGGCCGCGGCGCCGAGAGCGCGGCGCGGCGCTGGGAGCTGGCGGAGCACATTTCCCAGATCTCCGGCGATGTGATTTCTCTGCGGTCCAGGCGCTCTCCCCCGATCTCGTGGGTCTCTCGGAGGCCCCTCCTCCTCCTCCTCCTCCTCCTCCCCTCCTCCTCCTCCTCCTCCTCCTCCTCCTCCTCCTCCTACTCCTCCTCTCCGCCCTCCTCCTCCGCCTCCCCCTCCTCCTCCTCCTCCTCCTCCTCCCTCTCTCCCCCTCCTCCCCCCCCTCCTCCCCCTCCTCCTCCTCCTCCCCCTCCTCCTCCCCCTCCTCCTCGCCTCGGGGCGCTCCCTCTCTTCGGCGGCCTGCGCCTCGCCCACGGGGCGCTCCAGGGCTGCCCCGGCCTCGCCCCGAGCGGCCGCGCGGAACCTCGAGGTGTGGCGCGAAAGCCACCAGGACATGAACATAAAAACTCGGCATACAAACTCGGCATAAAAAACAGGAAAAACATAAAAAAAAACTCTGCATAAACATAAGCATCAAAACTCAGCATAAAAACTCGGAGGTCCGCGCGGATGTCTCGGATCGGCGCTGGGGCCCCCCGACGGCGCCTCCGGCGCCGCCCCTGGCGCGCTCCGCGCGCCAGGGAGGGGGGGTCCAGCGCCGATCCGAGAATTCCGCGCGGGCCTCCGAGTTTTTTGTTTATGTCACTTTTTGTTCCCCTAGAGGGAGGGAAGTGTTGGGAGGTTGTCGCTGCTTCTTGCAGGTGTTTTCTCGCCTCGCCGAGGGCGCTCGTCCCGAGCGGCCGCCAGAGAGACCCCAGTTTTCGGGCCCGCTATGGACAAAGGAGCCCCAGAGCTCCGACGGTGCGATGTTCTATTATAAATTCCTTGCCCTTTCCGTCGATTTCGGCCTCTGGGGCCAGCGTTCAGGCCCTGGGACTGCCAAGAATGGACCCGTTCAGGGTGCCGGAGTCGGGGGCACAACAAACGGGGGCACGGGGAACGCCGATTTCCACGTGTGGCTATGCCCCCGTTCAGGGATCCCTGGGCGCCGTAGGAAAAGCGTAAGGCCCCGTTTGGCGAAGCCCCCGTTTTCGAAGCCCCGATCTGGGGCGAAGGACCGGCCCTGGGAAATGGGTCGGGACTTCTTGGGGCCAGGCATTGGCCAAATTCCTGGCGCGTCTCGCGTATCCCGCCCAGCCCATGCAACAACAAGCAGCAGGCGAGATGACCTGATCAGTGAGCGACGACATGCGACCCCTCAACCGAAGCGGCCACAGGCTCCCTGTGCGTTTGATGAGTGGCGTCTGCGTCGTTGCGTGCGCTTCGCGGCTCCTGGTGGTTGTCCTAGTTGAGTGGTTGCGTGTCGTTGCCTGCGGGTCTTTTGCTTCGGGCGCTGGTTGGATGCAATTTGGAGCAGTGTTTGAGCCCTCTTGAAGCAATTTTGGACGCCCTGGGAGCATCTTCAGGCTCACTCGGGGCCCTCTTGGGACTCTTGGGGCCCTCTTGGAGGCCTTGGGGGCCCTCCTCTTGGGGCCATCTTGGAAGTCGATCCTAGAATAGAGGATACTCAGTTACAGTCGAGTATATGATCAAGAAACCTCCTTCTGGAAAGCTGGGCCAGCGTTTCTTGACCAAGTTACCAGAGAGTTGGTCCAGTTTCTTGAGTTCCTTTCGCCCCTCAAGGGTCGACAACTGAACGTGGCACAGGTTGTGGTTAAGAAACGTCCCGGAAGCTGGCCCAGATGTCTTAAATCATGATTTTCTTGACAAGTACGGTTCCCCTGTCGGGGCCCGCAAAAACGCCCTGCAGGGGCCCTCTTGGGCCGCTCCTGGGGCGGTCTTGAGTGCGGGGCCTCTTGGGGCCCTCCTGGGGCCCTCCGTGGGCCACGTCGGAGCCATCTCAAGGCCTCGAGCTCGGCATCGCTCGGAGATCAGGATTTTTCTCGGCGAGGACCATCGAGGAGCATCCACGAAACCGAAACATGCACGGGCAATGGACGTCCGAACGATGGCAAGCGAGCGCCAGCAGGAAGAGAAAAGGCGAGAAGGCAAAACACATTGAACAATTACCCTGCGACGTGCCCAACCCTTTCTACACATGTGGCGACGATGCACGGGACCGATCAATACAAACGAACAGATTGAAAGACCCGCAGGGCCCACGAAAGTGGCGGCAGTTGCACACCTCGCAGCCCCTCAGGGAGCAGCGAGGTCTCGGCTGGGTGTGTTTACAACTCCACTCCGCTGGGCCTCCCGCGAGCCCACGAACGTGGCGACAGTTGCGCAGTTCGCAGGCCCCCCAGGGGGCCGCGAGGTCTCGGCTGGGTATATGTACAATTCCACTCCGCTTGGCCTCCACTCCTCGTTCCTCCTCCCCGTCTTGCCTCCTGCCTCCTACTTCCTGCCTCCTGTCTCCTCTTCCTTCTCTTCCTCCTCCCTTCTCTCCTTTGTCCTGTTTGCGTTGCAGCCCCGTTGTGACTCTGTCTCTCCCGTGTGCTCCTGGGGGGGAACCTCACGGCTCGCTGGGGGGCTGCGAAGTGTGAAGCTCTCGCCAGTTTCGCGGGTTCTTGGGAGGCTCAGCGGAATGGAGTTGTAAACACATCAAGCCGAGACTTCGCGGCTACCCTGCGCGGGCAGCGAACTGTGCAACTGTCGCCACGTAGTTGCGCAACCGTGGCCACGTTGGGGGCTCATGGGAGGCCCAGCGGAGTGGAGTTGTAAACACTCCAAGCCGAGACCTCGCGGCTTCCCTGGGGGGCTGCGAACTGCGCAACCGTCGCTGAGTGGAGTTGTAAACACACCCAGCCGAGACCTCGCTGGTCCCTGGGAGGCTGCGAACTGCGCAACGGTCGCCACGTTCGAGGGCCCCTGGGAGGCCCAGCGGAGTGGAGCTGTGCATACACCCAGCCGAGACCTCGCGGCCCCCTGGGGGGGGCTGCGAACCGCGTAACTGTCGCCACGTTCGTGGGAGGCCCAGCGGAGTGGAGTTGTAAACGCACCCCGCCGAGACCTCGCGGCTTCCCTGGGGGGCTGCGAGCTGCTCAGCCGTCGCCACTTTGGTGGGCTCATGGGAGGCCCAGCGGAGTGGAGTTGTGAACACACCCAGACGAAACCTCGCGGCTCCCCGGGTGGCTGCAACTGTGTTGAACGGCTTTGGCCTCCTGGGGGCCTCCTTGGGAGGCTGGGAGGGCAGTTGGGGCCGTCCTGCGGCGATCTTGAGGGCTCTAGGAGACATGCTGGACCACCCTGGGATATCTTGAGCGATATAGGAGGCCATCTTGGGCTCTCTGGGCCCTCTTGGAGCCACCCGGGGCCACCAAGGACCCTCTGGCACCTCGTGGGGGATGGGGGCGTGCAGACCCAGGGGGGGCGGGTTACGGGGAGGGGGAACGCCTTGCCCGACCGGGAGGAAACGGGTTGGCAGAACGAGCTCGTGATCAGAGAAGGAAGGGTACCAACACTCTACCCCTTCCCTTGTTTTCCCTTTCTTGGGCCTCCTGGGAGGCCCTCCACCGCCGGATTGGCTTCGAAATCCTAGCCAGATCGCGCCCCAGGAAGGGTCCAGGGAGTAGCGGTATCGGTATCTTTTCGTGTCTCCACGTTGGACCACTCACGCTTGTAAGGGCTGGTGGGACTACCGCAGCGAAGCACCCGAATAGCAGCAAAGGTGAAGAGGCGGGTCGAGGAGTAGCAGGTCGGTCAGTGAAAACGTGCAGCCCGATACATTCCTATGGGCTCCTACGCGTGACAGAGGTGAGAGCACGGCCATGTACACGGTAGTAATGTTTCACATTGAGTCGTGGCCGTGTGACAGGGGTGAGAGTGCGGCCATGCGCGCCGTAGTCTTTTGTGTTGTGTTACAAGGGACCGTGGCCGTGTGGTGTGACAGGGGTGAGAGTACGACCATGTGCACACCAGTGTGTTTTGTGTAAGGAACAGTGGCCGTCAGGACCACAAATATAGTTGGCATTGAGGCGAGAGCACGATTCTCAAATAAATTGTGAGGACTCTTGGGTAAAACGGTTGCCCGCACTGGGCGGGCACGGGTTCCCCGTCCTCTTTTGCGGGGCTCTTCTGTCGCAGTTTCTTAGCACCAGTAGAACCTTCCATGGCAAAACGCTACTAGGAAATCATATCGTCGGACGTCGCCTGGGCCCGAGGCCAGAGCTTGTCCATCGCCACCACCATTGGGGTCCGTGCTGTGGACTTCGGGAGGCCGTGGATACGGACACTTTTGGGCCCTCACGGGGGACGAGTATCCATGCTTTAGATTTTTAAAGTAGCCAGCGTGGACCCCAAACAGCGTGTTGCTAGCATTCCATGTTGTGCAACGCATGCGAAACAAGATACGCTGTGCAATCTCTGTGGTGCAACGTAGCCGGTGAAATATGTAAATGTATATGTATATGCATACATATACATAAATATATTTATATATACATTTATATAGCTATACTGCCATATATTGCCGCAAATTGATATTTGGCGAAGGCGCCGCGCCAAAATGCCTTGCAAACGAAAGTTCCAGCTTGCAATATCTTTATTTGGCGGAGGCGCTGAGCGCTTTATTCCCGAGAGCGAAAACAATACGTTGGCCTCCTTTATTTTGGCACCTGCGTGGCCGGAAAATGCCCAGCAGCGAAAACGCAGCATTTGGATTGCCCGTGCACCCGCAGTATTTGGATTGCCCGTGTACCGGCATTGTACCCAGACATCGATGTTCTTATTTGGGGTATAAAGCTGACCCACATCCCCGCTGAGCGAAGAAAATGAGCTCGGCATGATTAAGTTTGGCGGGGGGCGGTCGCATAATTTCCTGCAAACGAAGGCTTGACCGCCGCACTCTTTTATTCGGCAGGGGCCTTGGCCAAAGGTGCCGCACGGGAAAAAACAAGCTGGATTTAAAAAGTTGATTGTAAATGGTGTTGTCCATGGTGTACAATCTACGTCGCGCAATATATGTTGGGCAACCTTCGTGGTGCAATATATGTGGTGCAATCCACTCTGCTGAACTTGAAGTCGTCATCTCCACTGCTCGCGCAAACATCCCACCCAC